GTTCTGTACCCTCTGAATATCATCTGATTCACTGAATCACAGAATTGCTGAGGTTGGAAGGGACCTCTGGAGATCATCCAGTCCAACCCCCCTGCCAAGGCAGGGTCACCTGGAGCAGGAACTGTCCGGGTGGGTCTGGAATGTCTCCAGACAGGGATCTCCACGCCCTCCCTGGGCAGCTGCTCCAGTGCTCTGCCACCCTCAGTGTAAAGAAGTCCTTCCTCATGTTGAGGTGGAACTTCTTGTGTTTTAGTTTATGGCCATTGCTCCTTGTCCTGTCACTGGGCACCACTGGAAAAAGTCTGGCACCATCCTCTGACACCCTGTGGAGACATTTGTATTGATTGATGGTATGATTAATGCTTAACACAACAACCCCCAAAACTGTGCCATTCTAACTGACTAAAGATGGTGGTGAGGGCCTGGCACAGGTTGCCCAGAGAAGCTGTGGCTGCCCCACCCCTGGAAGTGTCCCAGGCCAGGTTGGACGGGGCTTGGAGCAACCTGGGCTGGTGGAAGGTGTCCCTGCCCATGGCAGGGCATGGGATGAGATGAACTTTAACATCCCAACCTGCCTGTGATTCCATGTATCGGCACAAAACACTTGAAAAACTTCCTGACAGGAGTGGAAGGTTTAATATTTGTCTGTTAATTAGTCTTCACTGAGTCACTTCCCCGCTTCACTTCAACCAACGGACCTGGTGCCTTTCCCGGTGTTCCCTCCCCAGCCCATACCTGTAAAGGTTGATATCAGCGAAGGATTTGCTGTTGTTGATGGCAAAGACACAGAGGAATCCCTCCCCAGTCCTCATGTACTGGTCCCTCATGGCACTGTACTCCTCCTGCCCCGCCGTGTCCAGGATGTCCAGCAGACACGTCTCGCCGTCGATCACCACCTGCTTACGGTACGAGTCCTGCAGGACAAACACGGGCACTTCCCATCAAACACACGGCACTGCTGCTTCCCACCTCGGGCATTATGAGTGAAAAACAAAAATGCTAATGAAAAGATGGGTATGAGGGAGAGAGGAGCTTTTCCAGCTACTCCAGGGGAGGTTGTGGCTTCCCCATCCCTGGAAGTGTCCAAGGCCAGGTTGGACAGGGCTTGGAGCAACCTGGGCTAGTGGAAGGTGTCCCTGCCCATGGCAGGGGGTGGAAAAAAACAAGCTTTAAGGTCCCTTCCAACCCAAACCATCCTGGGATTCTGGGATTCTTGCCTCTCTCTAATAAAAAACTACCAGTATCTGAAACTATCCCATTTTAAATGTTACTCAAACCATCCCATTTTAATTGTTACTCAAACCATCCCATTTTAAATATTACTCTAAGCTCCCCCCCCCGCACCTTTGTTACAAAACAGCCAAGTCCTGTTGTTTTAAAGAAATTCCTCAATTAATAAGACAGGGGGGAAAAAAGGGTATTATAAACACCATCACCGTGCCAGGGATCTCCGCCCTACACAGACCAGCGGTGGCTTTTTTTTGGTTGCCTTTGGCTGCTTTAGGAAGCCCGAGGCAGAACGGGGGAGGAATCGCCCCCAGAACCCCGGGCTGGCTTGGGCCGGGCCGAAAGGACCCCCCGGCCCACCGGGGCACGGGCAGGGGCCTCGGGAAGAGTTTTCCCAGCGTTTCTCACCCCCCGCTCCGCTCCCGCAGCGGGTCCCGCACCCCGGCCCGGCCCCGCCGCACCTCGATGGTGGGGTCGTACTCGTCCACGAAGTGGTTCTGGATGAGCTGGATGGTCAGCGCGCTCTTGCCGACGCCGCCCGCGCCCACCACGACCAGCTTGTACTCGGTCATGGCCCCGCGGCCCCGGCCCGGCCCCGCCGCGATCGCCCCGCGCCGCTTCCGCCTCCCGCCCGCGCGTCACCGCCCGCGCCGCTTCCGCACACGCGGCACCGGAGCGACAGCGGGGACGGGACACGGGGGGACAGCGGGGGTACCGGGGAATGGGGGACACGGGGGGACACCGGGGGTACCGGGGAATGGGGGACACGGGGGGACAGCGGGGGTACCGGGGACAGGGGGACACGGGGGGACACCGGGGGTACCGGGGAATGGGGGACACGGGGGGACACCGGGGGTACCGGGGAATGGGGGACACGGGGGGGACACCGGGGATACATGGGGGAGCGGGGGGACACCGGGGGTACCGGGGAATGGGGGACACGGGGGGACAGCGGGGAATGGGGGACACGGGGGGACACGGGGGGACACCGGGGATACCGGGGAATGGGGGACACGGGGGGACAGCGGGGAATGGGGGACACCGGGGATACCGGGGAATGGGGGACACGGGGGGACAGGGAGCGACAGCGGGGAATGGGGGGACAAGGGGGGACACGGGGAGACACCAGGGAATGGGGGGACACGGGGGGACGGGGAGCGACAGCAGGGACCGGGACACGGGGGGACACCGGAGGATAGCAGGGACAAGGGTACACGGGGGGACAGGGAGCGACACCGGGGAATGGGGGGACACGAGGGGACAGGGAGCGACAGCAGGGACCAGGACACGGGGGATTACCAGGGATAGGGGTACACGGGGGGACAGGGAGCGACACGGGGGACGGGGGGACAGGGCAGGGAGAGGGAGCGACACCGGGGGACATGGGAGAGACGGGGGGGGACACGGCAGAGACGGGGGACGGAGGGAACACGGGGGGAACTGGGAGGGACACGGGGGAGAGATGAGGGAACGGGGGGGAAGACACGGGAGGGACAGGGTGGGACACGGGGGGACGTGGGGAGGAGAGGGGGGAACACGGGGGTGAACCGGGAGAGACATGGGGGGGACGAGGGGGACCCGGGGGGACATGGGGGCTGGCACGGGAGAGACAGACACCCACCTGCATCCCGTACAGGGGAATGACACCGACTCGCATCCCAGAGCCTTAAAGAAGGGGAATGACATAGAGCCCCTTATCCCGAAATTTTAAAGGAGGGAATTGTAGTTTTAAAGGGGGGATGACACCGACCCTGCATCCCCTAAAGGGGGAATGGAACCGACCCCACATCCCAGAGCTTTAAAGAAGGGGAATGACACTGACCCCACAACCCCTATAGGGGGGAATGGCACCGACCCCACATCCCGTGGTTTTAAAGGTTTCAAAGTGTGAAATGAACCCAAGCTCCTCATCCCGGAGCTCTAAAGGGGTAATGACACCAATCCCGGAGTGTTAAAGGGGGGAATGACACAGAGCCCCCCATCCCAGAGTTCTAAAGAGAGGAATGAACCCCTCAAGATTTGAACAGGGGTTTGAGTCAAACTTCAACAACCTGAAGTGCAATCAGGAGCTGGAGCTGGACAGTTCTGATTGAGAGATTGCACTGTGAGCATCACATGCTTGGCTGATCTTTGGTTTAAAGGGTAAGAGAAGACAATCCCAAGGCTGTCTGGATTAGAAACACCAGGAATGAGGTGAGCAGGGCTGAGCAGTAACTGGGGGAAAGGCAATTCCAGCAGTGGAGACCCACTGACCACCTCCTCAAAACAGACCCCACTGAAGACTCAGATGAAGAACTGCACCTGGGGACTAATTAGCACGAGAAATGAGAGCTGTAACTTGCAAATAGGGGGTTAAGTACTAATTAATAGAAAAGCTGTGTAATTTGTAACCAATTAATGCTTCTGTGTTAGTTAAAATGTACAAATAGTGTAAAGTTTTGATGATCAGGGAGCCTTTTGTGGGAACCACCAGCTCCCTGCTTTGTGCAAACTAGAATAAAACACTGAAATCCCTCACCTTGGTGTGTGAATTGGATGGCACTGGGAATGAGCCCATGGCTGGGATGGCACGGATCTAACACATCCCCCACCGTGGAAGGAAGAGGCAGAGCACAGTGAGGCTTTTTTCAAAATCAGTAAAACTTTATTCTATTTCCATTCTTTGCCATTAACAGAAAAAAAATTGGAGAAAGCAATGTTTTGTTTTACAAAGATAATGCATCTCCCAGAGAAGAAAACCCTAAATTGAGAATAGAGGTAACATGAAAAAACAAAACAAAACAAAACAAAAAAAAAAACCACAGTACTGCCCTCTATTCCAAAAAGTAACTCCTGATCTTTTTGGTTAAAGTAATACTTAGACCAATCATTCAGTTTTCTTGCTTGATAAAAGTGTGACTGGGGAAATGGAGGGAGGGGGCAAGGGGAGGGGAGGGAAAAAAAAACCAAAAAAAAGAAAAAAAAAAACAAAACAAAAAAATAAATCAAAACAAAAAAATAAACCAAAAAAAAAAAAAGCACACAGACATCAACTATTCACCTTGATGAAAGTCTCAATACAGCTATGGAAAGCCTAAGTATTTATTCTCTTACAGTACACTGGGTGCCGGCTGCAAAAAGAACAAAAAAAATGTATTCACTTCAGGCACAACTTCTTTCTTTTTAAATTTAAATCAGTAAAAGAAACTGGGTTTAGAAGCTGCAGTGTTCTAAGCAGCAGCAGATTTGTGCATTGTTTTAAATATATTTAAATTACCACACTGATGGCACACCTCAGCCTTATGAAATTCTGCACTGTCTGTTCCAGAACACCACAAAATCCACCGACCCTGGGAGAGACTTGCACTGAGCTCTAACGACTGGCTAAAAGGAGTCAAGTTAAATGAACTAGGAAAACACTATAACATTTGGCCATCAACTCAAGGTATCTGAATGTTCATCGAGATCTGATATAAACTGAACTTATTCCACCCTCACATGGTCCTCAGAATTTGAGCAGAGTGAGCTGAAGTGAGCCTTCCCCTCCGCTCGGGAGGGAATATAATGCAACTGAGCACTAAGGCATAATAAACCTTGGCCAAAAACAAGGATAAAGCATAATAACTGTAGTGCAGAATTCCACAAGGTCTGCCCGAGCAGAGCTGTCTATGTTTACTCACAGAGGCAATGGAGATTGCAGTTACCAGTTGCGTTAAATGCACCATTCAAAACAAGCTTCTAAAATGTGATACTATAAGGCGCCACCTTAAAGTTCTCCAGAATGCAACTGTGCAGAAATTTAAAATGGTTTCGTAAATTTAATTTTAAACATAACATGAGAAGGTGTTAAAACCGGTGGAATAGCTTCTGAGAATTTGGAGGAAGGGATGAACAGGGAGATATTCAGTACCCTTCGCCAGCCCCACCGCGCGGCCCAACGTCGGCGTGGGGTTGGGATCAGTCTATAACACCAGCCTGGCGGATCTTTCTCTCTGCACCAAATCCCTGCAAGGAAAACAAAGCAAACTTTTAGCTCCAGCATCGTGGAATCATGAAATCATCTTGACTGGGAAAGATCTTTAGGATCGTCAAGTCCGACCACCGGGCTCTGAGGCAAAGCCGATCCGTTCCACCAAAGCACAGCATTAGCACGCTTCCAATTAGTCATATCTGTCTTCAGAAACAGGTTCTGTGGGGTGTTCTTTACAGTCCTAGACACTGCACAGATTCCAGACAGTTTGCTCTTCAGATCCCAGACACATCACTCCTGTTTATGCATGGTGGCAAACCTTAAGTGAAAGCCAAATTTGGGTAGAGGGATTTCACTTACTGCCTCTGAGAAGGGCAGCAGGTTTATAACCAAGATAACCACTGTGGGCTAGAAAGCAAGCAGCAGTTGGTGGCTTCTCTAGTGTGTGCTGCTCTGAAACCCCAGCACACATCACTGACACGGGGCACAGCACCCTGGGTGCTAAAAAAACCCAACCTCACACAGCAGGTGAGTAGTTCAGCACCAGATGGAAGCAGACACCAGGTATTTCGGCTGTTAACCGAAAGGTTGGTGGTCCAACAGTGTGCCCAGGTGGCCAAGAAGGCCAATGGGATCTTGTCCTGTATCAAAAATAGCGTGGCCAGCAGGAGCAGGGAAGTGATCCTTCCCCTGTACTCTGCGTTGGTGAGGCCACACCTTGAGTATTGTGTTCAGTTATGGGCCCCTCAGTTCAGAAAGGATATTGAGGTGCTGGAGCGGGTCCAGAGAAGAGCAACAAGGCTGGTGAAGGGACTGGAGCATAAGTCCTATGGGGAGAGGCGGAGGGAGCTGGGGTTGTTTAGCCTGGAGAAGAGGAGGCTCAGAGGTGACCTCATCACCGTCTATAACTACCTGAAGGGAAGTTCTAGCCAGGTGGGGGTTGGTCTCTTCTCTCAGGCACTCAGCAATAGGACAAGGGGGCACGGGCTTAAGCTCCGCCAGGGGAGATTTAAGTTGGATATCAGGAGAAAATTCTTTACAGAGAGAGAAATCAGGCATTGGAATGGGCTGCCCAGAGAGGTGGTGGATTCACCATCCCTGGAGATTTTTAAACGCAGATTGGACGTGGCACTGAGTGCCATGATCTAGTAAATGGACTGGATTTGGACCAAGGGTTGGACTCGATGATCTCGGAGGTCTTTTCCAACCCAATCGATTCTATGATTCTATTCTATGATTCTATTTGACAGCTCCCGCTCTAGCAGAGGAAGCACTGCTGTGCTCCCCAAAGCAAGGCACCCCCTGCAGTGCCCCTGGCAGTCTGTACCTTTGAGTTATCGGGCCCCCGGGGCTGGCGGAGCACTGTGAGACGCGGGGCGTTGGCATCGTCCAGGTTGATGCTCTTTAAACGGTTCACGAGTCTATCGGGACGCGGAGCAGCAACAGCCTTGGCGCCTTCGCTGTAACAGAGGCACACACAGGGCACTGGTGACTTCCCACAGCTGCTGCCAGAGGCCTCATTCATACCCAGCCCTTCACTACAGTACTTTATAGCAATTTGGATTGTCCCCATGAAGCACTAGTGCAATTTATCCTGGCTGACATCGGGACTCTGCCCCAAAGCTTTACCTTCCACACAGGACTCTGAAATAGCAGCAGCTCAGTGTTCTCCAAAAGCTGTTCTTTAGTGACTTGAGCTGTTGCATTTACTCTCACACTTATATAAGTAGCATTTCCTACATTTCTGTTACCCAGAGAAGCTGTGGCTGCCCCATTCCTGGAAGTGTCCAAGGCCAGGTTGGACAGGTCTTGGAGCAACCTGTGCCAGTGGAAGGTGTCCCTGCCCATGGTCGGGGGTGGAACGAGATGGCTTTTAAGGTCTCTTCCAACCCAAACAATTCTGGAATTCTATAATTTAACTGCAACAATAAAAGCTTTTGAGCTGCCAGTGGCAGAGCATTAACATCTCTGAAGATGATGGGAACAGAGAACTCTGAGAAAAAAATTACACATTAGCTTTGTGTCACTGCAAAAGTGCTACCTCAAGCTTAAGCAAAATCCAAATTGTGCAGTTTTCTACAAGTAGCTCAAAAGCAAAAAAATACCCATAAGCCTTAAGAAATGCCATACCAAAAAGAAGAGTCCCTAACAACATGGGTTTTCTACTTAAAAATGAAAGTTGCTCTTCAGAAAACAGGTGGCAGCACTATGGAATGTGCTGGCCAGAGGCCAGCATCCACACAGGAATACTATCAGTTTTCTTATCATTAACTTCTACTTCCAAGGCTGTACCCTAATTCCTGCTACAGGGGGAGTTTTTAAGAATAGATTAAGAAGGGAACAAGCTGTCTGTAACTAGGAGGAGCTGGGAGTCCCCTGCACTGCATCCCCCTCTAAGTGCTGCCAGCTCTCAGGTGAGGCTCTCCCTGAAGGCAGCTGGAATCCAGAGCTCCTGCTCCAGGAGCAGCCCAGCTCAGGCTGAAGCAGCCTGCAGGGCACTGCTGTGATGCAGACACTGTGCCAGGTTCAACCCCTGTCGTTCCCAAGCCTCACCAGACACGCCACACGTTACAGGCACTGCATTTTCCTGTGCGCTGGTTCAGGATTACGGAGAACTCCACTTCATCCCCAGCCTGGAGCTCCACACCATCCTGCACTTCTTTGACATGGAAGAAGAGCTTTTTGCTGTCACCAACTTCGTAGTTAATGAAACCAAACTGAAAAGCAACACATCACAAGGTTATTGATTCCCTCTTGACCCAAACAGAGGCAGTAACTTACTCATCATTGCAGTTCAACTACATCTACAAACCCTCCAAAACTCTGTGGTGCCTAAGGGAAGTGGAAATGCAATTTCTACACTGAATAGAACATTCTGTCTAGAAACAACACTTCTGGAAATCCAGGTACTCTTCTTGGATTTGTAAACTCAAACCTAAATTCCAAAGTCTATAGAACAAGTTCTGAAAACTGCCCAAGTCCTGGCAGCTGTATTAAACTAAGATGAGCACTGCTGCAAGCTCTAGGACTCCCTGAAAGGTTTCTTTGGTCTGTCACTGGGATAAGAAGCCAGTTACTTCCATTTGCCACTCTACTCATGTGTAAACCAGCAAAACTCACTCAGCCTCTCCATAAATGACTAGAGATTAGTGCTGCACAATAACTATAAACCCAGAAAACCTTCACAGCACTGAACTTGCTAACCATTCTGAAATGCAGCTAATGAGGGCCATAATCAGCCTTTGCACTTCAGGTGGTCTGTCACCACTGATTGCTGGATGCTGTGAAGAAGCTCCTTCAGAGCATGTGAAGATTTATTTTCCTACCAACGTGCTCCTTGTGTTCCCAGCAGCCCCTCACCTGGTCCTTGACACACTCCACGGTGGCTCTGCGGAACGGGGTGATGTTCACAGCCATCGTCTGCCCGTTCTGCCCGAGGACACAGAGCTGGAACTTCACTGTCTCCCCCTTCTGCAGACAGTCACCTTTGTTTGCCATTCCAACAATTCCAAAGGGATAGACCTCTCCTTTCATCTCACCTGTGGGGGGGGAAAGCACAAGGCAGAACTGAGAGGCCTTTCCCACTGAGTTCAGACTTCCAATATTAAAAATGCAACTTTTACTGCCAGCTTAGCAGTGTCCATATAATCCTCAACACCTCTATTTACAGTGCAACTTGTGCACTTCTTGTACACTTGTGAAATGAACACTTAAAAGTAACAAATCTTACCATCTTCCATGACTTCAATCATGCCCTGGTACTCAGTCTGTGTGGGATCTACACTCCTCAAAGGACGAATTACTTTACCAGAGTAAACAGTTGGATCAGCTTCCTCAGTGATACCATTCACTGAAAAGAGACAGACAGTGGAAGAATAGGACATTCTAACCATGGTTTATTTCAAAGTTAATTAAATTAAGTGATTCAGATTGACCAGGAGCCAACAGTTTGCAACTGCCTGACACCTAATCAAAACTACAGTGACATTTCATATGTGGAAGTAGAAAAATATTGTTTTTTCAAGAAACTCGAGGCCATGGAGATTGAAAAGCAAATCAGAGTATTTCACTTCTCTTCCACTGCACTCCCCGCTTTAAGCATCCAATATAAGTGGGCATTTCCCCCCCTCCCAAGTTTTTAATACCCTCATCTGCCTCCCTCCTGCAGCCTTCCCTCTGTGAAGCACAGCACAAGTAATGCAGTTACTAATTTGGCCAGTTCTGCCACTCTGTCTCTCCTTATAACCCCCCAGCTGAAGGGTTCAGAGCACAATAAAGATCCAAAGAACTGCTACAGTTTTCAGAACTGCTGCTCTGTGCTTTCCTGTTCTCTGGAAACACATACAGCAGCTTTCAGGAAACCAACAACCACCTCACATTAAGCATCTTCTTGATCTAAGTTCCAGCCATAAACAGATTATTCACCTTTATCCATCATCACCTGCCAAGAGCCCTGTCAGCAGAAAACACCAGGTACAGCCTTACCTGCATGTGTTTTGTTCACCTTCTCTGCACTAACTTTGTTTCCTTTGCCTTTTGACAAGCTGTATTCCACAGTGTCTCCAAGTTCCAGGCTATCAATATCTCCACAGTATTCACTGCAGGAACAGAATGAGGCACAGTTTTCCTTTAGTTAACATGACAACAGTGATGCTCATCCAACATCCACATCAGCTGATCAGAAACTATTTAAATCGCTCAACACTTCACATTTTTAAGAAATCTTTATTAAGGAAAGTGAAGCATTTTCAAATATACAAACACAACTGGATTTGGGATTCAGGGGCACAGAACACCAGGACTGCTGACTAATAAAAAAGCCTGAACCAGTCCAGCTGAGATAATAAATGGAACTGTAGATATCTAAGCATATATATATGTGTGTGTGTGTGTGTGTGTGTGTGTGTGTGATGTGACTGATTTTAACAGTCAACCAAACAAAACTCCACACTCTCCCACCCCCACAACAGACAAACAACCAAATAATATTAAAATTCTCATTCACCTGTAGTGGAAGAAGATCTCCTTATCATGATTGGCTGTTTCAATAAATCCAAAGTTATCTTTCAGGGCTGCCACATATCCCAAAAGCCTCTTAGAGCTGTAATTGCGTCCCAGCATTCTGACAGAAACAGCTGTTTGCAGACCAGTTCTCTTCACTTCACACACACAGAACTCGACCTGTTGAAGAGGTGTTAATCAACACTAGACAGAAAAACCCAAATAAACCATGACCACCAACAAAGAACAACCAAATCAACTAATTTCAAAGCCGTGCAGCTCTGAATCAGCTCCTAGGGTCTCCAGGAAAGTAGTTTCCTAGTTAATACTTTCCCATAAACATGTCAGTCATGGACATCTCCTATATTCCAGAGAGCAGCAGCCACACCTGGGATACCTGTAAGGCAGGTCAGCCTCCAGCACTCAGCTTTTTATCACTTAAAAAGACAAACTCTCTGTTTATGTGGAGAGAAACTCTCCTTTTCCCACACCAGTGACCCACATTAAGAGGTACCTTGCTTCACTTGTTTCAGTTTTTAAAAAAATTCCTCTTTTAAAAAGCATCCTTTACAAGTAAGACACTATTTTCATCTATGTATCACCAGGTTGGAAGATATTTTTTAGTTATACAGAAGATTAAGCCACTCAAAACCAGTATTCCAGGTCATATTACACAGGTGCCTTGTCCATTGTTTGTTCCAAGAGGAAGAAAAATCCAGGAATAAGGCAAAGAGAAGCTCACACCTCACAATACACAGAACAATATTTCCCAAGAGCACACTTAGCTATATCACCTTATCTCCTATCTGGGGATTAGTAGATCCTTCCACATCCTTGGCCTGGTAAGGAATGGTCAGTTTTACTCCACAGTCATCATACACAATTATTCCATCTTCAGCTTCCTGAAAACAAGAGGTCAGAATTCAGCAATTCTCATTTGTAAGCAAAGAAGTTTCCCACACACACTTCAAGCTCTGCTCATTGGAGTCTCAGAGGTTTTACAATAATTGCTCAAAACCACAACCAAACTGAGTAAGAAGCTTTAAATGATGACAGACAATATGTTTAAAGGAAATAAAAGTATTAGCACCAGTTCCAGGAAGTATTTACTGGAACCTTAAATATTTTGGGGTTGTTTAAAAAGCATGACAAAACAATAAGAGGTTCCCTTCCAGCTCTAGAAACTTAATTTTTAAACAGTTCTATCTAGTATCTTACGTAGTGGGAGGTAGAAAGAAACTTCCCATCAAGTTTCTGGAATTTATGCTCAACAACATGATAACAGAAGTATTGTTTATGATCCTGTTCACCCAAGTTAGTTTTCACTGACTGCTGTCATCAGCTATTCAGTGTCATCCACATTTATACAGGATAAATGGTACATCAAAACCAGTGGAATTACAGGGTTTAAGGAAGCAGCCCCAGTCTCCAATGCCAGGAATGCAGAACAGGTATTCTAGGAGAGCAGCATTACCTTCTCTTTGCCTTTATTTGGGCTAGTGGCTTTGGCTGGAGTGGCTTCTTTGTCTATAGTGCCCACAAAACGATGTTCTGATTGGGTGTGGAAAGAAACTGTGCCCTTGGGAAGCTTTTTAATCCTTATGGCATGGTTCCTTTGGGCAGACAACATATCCTGAAAAAGATGATCCATCAGATGTTAGACAGACTGCACACAAGTTCTTTAAACACTAGGATTTTATAGAAGTATTAATCTCACTCACAGGAACGACAGTGAACTCCACTTCATCAGAAATATGGAGCTGATTCCCATCCATGATTTCACTGAAGTGGAAGAACATCCGAGCATCCCTGTCCACACACTTAATGAAGCCAAAGCCATCTCTCATCGCTGCAATCACACCCTGAGAACAGGAAAATCAGCAATTACAGTGTTATTACTGCTGTGTGACACCTGTCTGCAGGTGCTCCACCTGTCTGGAGTTTGCAATAGGGCCTCAATCCTGTGAAAACACTTCATTTTTGCAATGTGCTTCCTTGCAAACCTCATGCTAATGGTTATGGTCAACCCAAAATGCAAACAAGTCCTACTAACCCAGTTCCTCTACTTAATTTCTTATAAAGAGTGGAGAAGATTAATTTAAGCCACTAACAAGAAGGACTGTGGTTAAAATTCTGCCAGTACTACTACACAGAGAACACAATCTTGAAAGGAGCAACTCTACAAATACTACCTCATCTACAGGAGTATATAAAACATGCATAAACACAAAGAAAATATAGAAGAACCTACATAAAAAGAAAATAAAATTAGAGGGAAGTTTAAGAGAAAAAAATATCTAATTTTCAGACACAAATGAAGGAACTATGAAGAAGCTGTTTAACAAGACTACCCTATCCATGGGTGTATGTTATGGTAAGCATGTTCCATAATATTTTAGTGGCCTTCCTGATAACCACCAGAAATGGAATGCTGAATGGTAAACAGAAAATACTGTTAACAAAACAAACCCTAGTACCAGATCACACCAGAACTGAGAAAGGATTTATTTACATATTCCATTCAACCCAGTTACTCCAGAGCCTTCAGCAGGTCTCAGGGTAAGCTCAGAGGATCTGAATGACTGAATGGCAAAGGTACTTCCCACCTTTAGGAACATTCTGCTCTTAAACAGCTTTCACAAACTCCAGCAAACCAGCCAACCTTTCTAGAAGCTGCCAACACTTGTCACCTCAATGACAGCTCAATTCAGGCAGGCAGATGTTTCAAGCAGAGTAGAAATATAAGAATTCTATAGGACAGAATCCCCAAAACTCAGAGGCTGAAGTCAAAGTTCAGGGTTTTTTTTAAAGCAAAGGGTCATAATTCACAACCAACACTGTAATTGGACTTCAATTGAAAATGAAGGCAAAGTTACAGTCTGGTTGGAACAGAACCAACATTCCAAGTTACAGGAATGAAAGATATTCTATAATACTCATTAGTACACCCATCTTAGTCCCTGTAATCCACAGAGGTTTTGTATGTGAGAGAACTCCCTGCTCTTTACCATCCTTCTGCTTGAGCCTCAGAAAGAGATTGGTCAAAACCCACAAAATCCAAAAGCTGCACACAGTTCCTCCTCCAGTTATTAAGAGTTTTCACTATGTGAACCAGAGAAGGCCCAGGTTCTTCCAGTTTTCCTAAGGAACATGAGTAAGTTACCCATCTATGACTCAAAGTATATGAATTTTTAAACTAACAGTTCAAGACTGCACTACTATAACCACCAATCCCCTCCAAGAGGGCCAACTAAGGTCTCATTTTCTAATATGGTTTCCTTTAAATGTTAAAAAAAAGCTAATTTTTTATTCTTTTAAGGCAAAGATGTAGAGGATTAATTCTGAATTTTCCACCATTTAAACACTTGGTTTGGACTGCCCATCTGAGGACTGGATTTCAGAGAAGGCAATGCAAGACATCACTGATTTTTACAGTTTTGTTTACAACTCCCTCCACGTTTTGCTTTCATTCTCCCTCAAAAATTAAACAACTTTTCGAAGACAGATACTTGCCATTTCTCTAGTTTCATTGGTAAACTGGAAAGTGTTGGGGAGAACCTCAATGTTGGTGGCACGTTCCAGTTTGTCACGTCTGTCTGTCGAAATGTTGAACCGCACGTGGTCGCTTTCCAGTAAGGTCACCTTGGATTTGGTGTCTTTGTCTCCAAAGGGAAGTTCTTTAGGAATCACAAAGTCCACTTTGATGCGGCCGGGTAAGGGATCGCTCTGGAGACACAAAAACCCCCCAGGAGAGGTGAGTTTACCCACAGGACTCAGCTTAACTGCAGAGACCACGATATTTCTGCCAAATGCCTGCTGGACTCAGAGCTGGGCTTCGTTCCTGCCACTCCTCAGGGGGAATTTACTGTTCACAGCCAAACACAAGGTGGGTTTTGTTGTTGTGGTTTGGTTTGGAGGTTTTTTTAAGCACCCAGCTGATAGAGAAATTAAGCCTATTTCAAGAATTAAATTTATAACCATACTCACACCACTTCTGAAATTCTTTCTTGTCAAACAAACACACACATTTCTTACTCAAAACACACAAAAGCAACAAAACACCCCAAACCTTCCCACAACAACAACAGAGACCCACCTAAAACCTTAAAGGAAGTGCTTATGAACACTCTTACCCCTAAGTCAAACATTACAGATTAAAAGCTGCATTAACTGTTAATGCTCACAGGAATCCATAGATCTGGCTTATCCCAGCAAATACTTTTCCCCTTTTCCCTACTCTTTTGCCCTTAAAGATATGTCCTAAACGCACAAAATTCAGCTGTATTTGAAATGTTAAAGAACACACACACTCCCCAGTGTCCCACTACCATAACTCTTTGGATATAAAATAAAAGAATAAATCCTTTCCTGTGACATGATGCTTGTGCAGCTGGCAGGTACAGGGAAAGGGGAACACTTTAACTGTTTGGCTGGAGTTCAATACAATCAAAGCACCACTTCACAAAGTGAAGTAACCACTGACATTCACCTGGTTTTTGCTGGGTACTTTTGGAATTACTTTGGTTACAGTTCCTTCAAAATGTTCAATGCTGATGTCTTCAAAAATGACAGTTCCTTGAGGCAGCAGTCTAACATCTGTTGCAACTTCTTTACCCTAAGAACACAAACCCAGTCAAATACCCCAAAAAGAAGAGAGACAGCAACAGACATTTCCCAGTGAACCTCCTCCCCCCTTTCCAAAGCTGGAGCAAACAGTGCAGTTCATGCCCAAAGATCTTGGCTCCCGTTTTACTGGATTTCGTCTTACATTTCTGTCTTTGATTGTAAACTCCACATCATCACCAGGCTGTAAGGTTTCTAGGTCACCTTTAAATTCACTATAGTGAAAGAATATCTCCTTCACGACATCACCTCTCTCAATAAATCCAAAGGCTTCCTACGAACAGAAAAAAAGTGTTTAATAAATTGTCCATTATCGTAACACACCAAGAAATAATTTTACAGGTTCTATCAAACACAATAATAGACTATGAATCCCAGTGGTGCACACAGCTAACAGGCTACCACAAAATATATAAAAGCAGAAGTAAATGGGACTTTCTTTTTTAAGAAGAGCTGTTTATCCGTTTCACACAATTTACACCCACAGCTCAAACTGTCAGTAGCTCTTACTAACTTCAGTGTATTACTTTTAAAAGTGCTTTTTTTTCAAAACAGCATTTTATTTTCAAATGAAACTTAAAATCACTCACTTTCATGGCACAGACTACTCCTTGACAGCGGGCTTGTTTCTTTTTTAATAGCATAATGTTACGAGCACTTACAGCACCAGTACTAGAGGGAGGAAAAAAACAGGGCAAAACTTAAACAATTAAAAACTGAAACAAAAACTAAAGTTCTATTTCATGTAATTTCATTTCTCAGAACAGGTATGAATTCTGCCTGACCACTAAAACCAATATGAAGCCAGAAAAGCAAGACCAACTTACTGTTTGTTTGTATCAATTATAAAGTTTATTTTATCTCCTGTTTCCAGCTGTACATTTCCTTCAACATCCTCTGGGGTGTAAGTCAGGTAAAATACTTCCTGTAAATTAACATTAACTAAAGTTACTCTATTTGCAGCATAGCTGTTTCAAAGAAAGATTAACACAATTTTGTTTAACAACAATATCTGCTTGATTTAGTGAGAAAACTGACAATGATCAAACATGGCATGCAAAACATTCTTTTTTCCATCGTGCTGTTTTGATGAGTCTGTGACAAGCAACTTAAGTTGACAGGTTTGTACGTGGCCATCTTTAAAATTCAATTTCTAAACTTTAGAAGTTCAAGATAAGGATATATGAACTCCATGAAGTTTTAAAGGAGAACAACTATTTGGCTCAGTAAAAAGTTCTCCATAGACATAAGCAAGCAAACTGTCAAAAATAACATTACTGTTTGTGGTAATTACCAAAGCATGCTTTTTTTGGCCAAGAACTGCACAGTTGAGTGCAATTTAATGTCCACATTAAATTGAATCTTTTATTTTGCTCATAGACCACAGTGATGGATCAGTGAAGAGTTCAAGTAAAATGCACAAGCTTTACCCCATTACGTTCGTAGCAAACACTCCCTGTTGGACTTTGACCCGGGGCAGCTGGAGATTTACTCTCTAAATTGTGAGGAACAGCACACACAACCTACCAGTCAAAAAAAAAAAAATAAAAAAAAATCCATTGCTAGTCATTTCAGGAGTGGCATTTTTGTTGAACACAAAATGAATCTCAGTACCCTCTACTACACACTCAACAGGGAATGCCACGCTGCAAAGTTTTAATCTCACAGAACCTCTCGGCTCCAAGAAGTGTTTGGAGCCAAGGAAGAGCTCAAACTGAATCTCTGAATTTTCACCAGAACACACTGAAATGTGTTTCAGTGAACTACACTGTATGTAGTTAATATGCATGCTAAATGAACCCAGCCTTCTGTACTGGAGTAAGGGATGGAAACTATGCAGGGATAGAAAATAGACACTAACTTGTCCATTTATTCGTTCTTCAGGTAATATTTCTGGTTTTATCTTCACCAATTTAATAGCAATGGGTTTTCCAGTTCGGCGATCAGAAGACACTTCAAACTCAACGTCATCTGCAAGACAATCAAACGTGACAATGAGAGAGTTCTGTTTGGGTCTGTTTGTTTGTATTTTTTAATAAAAATCACTAAATGGCTGTGTTTGACAATTCACTGCTTGTAGCCAAACACAACGAAGTAGAACTCGGGTGCTTTTGTTACCAAGGAGGGACACACTATTTGCATATATTTCTCTGGTTATTCTGTTCTTTCTCTCCTGTTGCTAATGAATATTCCACTGTAATTCCATGGTAATTCCCTCCCCCTGCCCTGCTCACTACGCAGCAGACTCCACACTGAAGTTCACACAACATAACACAGGCCATTAATCAGTTTAGAAACTTCACTGCCACGCTAATTATCAGCATGAAGTCGCAGCCTCCCCATGCTGAAAAACAACTCATTCTAAACAACTCATGCTTAAAACAGAAACAGGGAGGACGAGAGGTAAATTCTCCCACAGTCTGAGTACTTGTCTGCATCTCAGCTAGACAAGTTTAACCTAACACTGCACCTTTCCAACTGTGTGCACCACAGGCTGCACAAAGTGCTGGGAAGGGCTCCCACCAGGAGCGGTGGGCTATTTGTTAAACCGCCAGAAGCCACAACAACTGCTGGTGTCACGGGATAAAAAGGGTATTTTGTGGCAAGTGAAGCAGAGACTGGTCTGCACTCCGAGCTGCTGCCTTTACCTCCTACTTTGAGCTCCTGCAGGTTGCCGTTGTACTGTGAGCAGTGGAAGAAGAGCCTGGCCTGCCGCTCCGAGCACTGGATGAACCCATAGGAGGTCAGCAGCTTCTCGATCACCCCAGTCTCGCGCAGCGCCGCCGAAGTACCGTTGGGGTACCCGTTGTGTCCATTGTTGTGGAGCAGGTTTGGATCAAAGCTCATCTGGTGGGAAGGAAGCACAGGGAAAAAAAATAAACCAAACCAATGGTTAAAATCAGTTTTTCCATGTCTTTGTAACATAATAACTGACAGAGAGCTTGTGGAAGTTACTGGCACAAGTAAACGCTAAGAATTCCTAAATTAGGGTAAACCCACCAAAGTAGTGATGTTTCTGTAATGCAGGAAGCCTTAACATTTAAACAGGCAAGGTATTTATAAAATAAGCCAGAACTCTAACACCCAAATAAAGCTTGCTTAGAGCAAACCAAACTTCTGACATTTTTAGAGTAAGTATTCCACCTCACATTCCCACGCTCCCACATTCACTATTTCACACGAAAGCCTGAAAATATCTCAAATATCTGCTCTTTCTAATCACCTGTTTAATTTGGAAAATGCAACAGTTGTGAGCCAATGCAATTAGGTTCACATCCCTGCACAGTTTGTCCCTAGTTTGGGTTCAGTCTTTCATACTAAAAAAAATGGTATTAATGAAACAGTTTTGCACAGTTATGGAATTAATATCCAGAATTAAAACCTAAATTGACATTCCTGGGGCAGAGAAGCCAAGTGCTAGAAAGACTGAGAAAATCTGAAAATAGCATGAAACTAAAGTTAAATCTATAATGAACTGTGGAATTAACTTACATACATTAAAACTTCTTTTCTAAATGGGGTAAGTTTTTCCTTTTTAAGCCTCAGATTCAACCTTGAAATATTTCCCATCCCTTTACTAACCCACTGGCTTTTTGATGTACAAGTCTCATTTTTCAAGTAAGCCACTTGGACTTACAGGTTAGCAATTAAATCAGATGAAATGTATTACACCTCACTAAACACTGTAATTCAAGAGAGGCAACTGAAGCAACCCTTCCTCCCTCCAAACAGCCCATATGCATCTTAAAATACAGAATTATTTGTTAGTTTCCAGAGTATTTAATCTGGAAACAGAATGAGACTGTATCTGTTCTCTGCCTTCTTGCTGCAACAAGCAGAAGAGATTAAAAATCAGTCAGCAATGTGTTTGTTGGAGATAAAGGACACCTGAGCAACTTGTAAAACAGTCACACTTCTTACTGTAACACAGCCACTGAGTTACTCAATGTATCAGAAAGAACAGATACAGCTTGTCTTCTCATGATGTTTGGAAATCAGTTTAAAAGTGATCAGAGAGCACCAAAAAACATCTGCTGTGAAGTTCTTGGGCAGAAATCTTTGCTCTTTGAGACTGACGTGAAAAAAAACCAAAGTGGGAACAACCACACAAAGTGAGGATTGACAGAGTTTTGGCCTCCAAGAGGGGGAGGTGTTCTCCTCCCTTCTGGTTCACACTCACGTGGGGTAGAAGTAGGTGAAGAAAAATACAAATAACAGAAGGTGGGGGGGTGATATGAGGGGGAAAAGGATCCCATGACACTGTGTAATGGTGTCCATCCCACAGAGCTGTGACAGCACAGTGCAGAGCTGGGGGACCACAGTCCTGGTCAGCACTTACAAAGTACAGTGTTACCACCCCAAGCTCTTGGAAATTCAGTGAATTAGCAAATCTGCTACAATTTCTGTAATATCCACTGCTTGTTTTCTTGTTCTACATCTCATTTTCCTTTCCTTTAACAACTAGTAGAAATCTCTGACTTTCAATCAATACTGTCCACTTATTCTTACCCTACCAACCTGCAATAACTGGCATCAATCAATACCCTTAAGATGTTCAAGTCATGGAACACTGGCATGCCAGCAAACAGTGAATTAGGAACATGACCCCAGCAGAGACCCCCAGGAGAACTCCAGCCCATCCTCCTCCTCCTCCAAGGCCTCTGGCCAACAAAGGCAGACAGGGCTTTGTCCAGCTGAGTCTTGGAAACTTCCAAACAGAGGTTCCTCCACCTCTCTGGGGCAGCTGTTGCTCCCAGCAAAGATCTCTTTCCACTCATGTCCAGCCCAAACAGCACAAAGGATAAAAGCCACAGGAGTTGCACCCTTCTTATGCACTGGATTATGTTTAAAGGGACACATTTTCTCAGAGTTATCTAACAAGAAAGCACTTCACAAAGCTGCTAAGATTTACTGACTAGTTCCTGCCAGCATCATTCCAAGATAAGAATCCTCATCTTTCGAGGAAGGCAATCCCAGGACATTCCACACACAGGAAGATGCCCTTGTGGGAAGGCCACAGCTGAAATGTTTTAAGCCATCCTACAGTTTGAAATACTTGTCAAAAATAAACTGGTCCTGCAAGTAGGGTGGCTGGGGGAAGGGCAAATGATATGTTATTATATCTTCTCCCAGGAGAATTACAGGCCAGACCATTAACCCATTCTGGAAGCTGAACTGAGCTCCTGTGAGTCACAAAATGGCCACTTCATCTCTGATACAACAAACAGACACTCTGCCTCAGATGAGCTAACAGACTAAAGGCAATGCTACTGAAGACACATCAGATAATGACAAAAATCTACCTAACAATCAGGTTCAGAACAGCCTTTCCCAGGCCTAGAAAGCCACAGTGCTGTAACCTCTTGCTCAGACACCATTTGAACAGTTTGAGTTTAAAGGAGCATTAGCAGCACAGCACAAAACTCCCCATCCATCCTCTAAAGCCTGACAACTTCAGTTCAAAGATTCCTCAGGTGGCACTAAAACTTGCTGTACAGAGGAAGATAATATAAAGCACCAGCAGCCTTTCCAGATCATTGTCAAACTCCTACATCTGTTCAAACAATGTTACAACAGAGCATAACCAATATCAAATAACAGCTATTTATATGTATCACCAAGAGTCTTGGCATACAACTGTTCCTTAAGAAACTTCTAGTAACATTAATAGGCTACAACCTATTAATGTACAAACAAGACTTTCTTGGACCTGAAATATAAGTTATATACTGGACCAAGATGACTACCTGGCTCTGCTGTCCACTGCCAACAGCTGACTTAGTTTACAAGAATATGAACTATGAACCCACCAGTACAAGTTCTCAGAGGAAGTAAAAAAACCCTGTGCAGGAAGATTAAAACACTAAACACAGGTTATTTGAAAATAGGGATTGGAACCACGAACCTACTGTTACTAGAAGAGAGGAACATCAATAATCAGCTCTCCAGGGTTATAAGTATTGTTCAATAGAACCATACTGCAGGGACTATTAATTCATCATATTACTACTAAATCAACAGCAAAAAATCACAGAGTGGTTTGGGTTGGAAGGGACCTTAAAGATCATCTTGTTCTACCCCTCTGCCATGGGCAGGGACACCTTCCACTAGCCCAGGTTGTCCAACCTGGCCTTGGACACTTCCAGGGATGGGGCAGCCACAGCTTCTCTGTGCCAGGGCCTCACTATTAAAAGAATTTTTATTAACAACTACTAAAAAGAACTAAAAGACCCCACACCATTCTGTCAATAAATTGGTTCTCATTAAGCTTGAAACCACATCTATAACTCTTTACACAGCACCAACCTCGCAGTGATATTCAAATATTGCACTTTCAGTAGTATTTGCCGATTCTTCTGTTTCAGCACAAGTTTCTAAGGATGAAGACTGCTATTATTTTAAAAAAAGGAACGAAAGGAGGAGAGACAAAAAGAGAAAGAAAAAAAGATAGCAAAAGAAGGTGATCTATCAAGCTATAGAGAACACAAGTGCTGCTGCCCTGGGCAGTTTCACTACAGCACTGGAGAAAACAAAGACTATTAGCAGCGTCGGGACGTGCTCTTTTGAAGCTGTTGAGTAGGCACAAACTTCTTGTTTCAGATCAAGCCTTGTATCTTCTTCAGTGTAAGTTGCCTCTTCTTTGGTCTTGAGTTGTTGTTACGATGTGGTTTATTCTTTTCCTGATCTGAACTTGAAGCAGCAGTTTCAGGTGGTAAATTCTGTTCTGTTCCACTTCATACTGGAGGAAGGGAAAAGACACACACTGAATATCACTTGAAAGGAAATTCTCCCAGAATCACAGAATGGATTGGTTTGGAAGGGACCTTAAAGACCATCTAGTTCCAACCCTTATAAATCAATCCTAAGTGTTCCTACAAACAGGTGCACTTCCTCTACCTTAGATCTGTAAGTTTGGGAAAGGCTGTTTTAGGGACATATTTGGCATTGCCATTTCCAATTTTCTTTTCCAAAAAACTACCTCCAAGCAGGGAGATGGTATTTCCAATTTTAAACCCTTCAGACACAGGCATTTCAGGAAAAGTCCCAGGTTGTAGCATTTAAAGTGATAACTTATCATTAATATTTAACTCATTAGTCCTCCTATCAATAATTTTATATGTGTGCTTATTAATTAAATTATGACATAATTTAACAAGTGCTTGCACAGGTCCTCAGAGTAGCAACAGGGTGTATGCATGCATGGGAATTAGAATTTCCTGACATTTCTGTTCCAAGAGGCAAGTTAAGGATTAGCAATACCTGAAGCACACTTAGAATTGTATAAAAATTAACAAATTTCTCAATTGTATGTCCAGATGCTGCATGTAAAATAACTGCAGAGCCATTCTCTAGGCTTGTAAAAGTTTTTGCAAAATGCTGATTGCATATACATGATATTTGGGCAGATAACACCACAGAGAAACCTTTCTGCAACAATAACTAGTTAGTAATTAATTCCCTCCTAAAGTTTTCCAGTCCCACTTTGTGTTTTCTTGAGAAAAGCAGTTCCAGCAAACTGCCACCTACCACACAAAACAAAACCTGATGGAAACAGAAGCTTTTCTTGAGAAGAAATCAAATCAAGTTTTGAGTTTGTTGCTTATTCAGTAAATAGATAAAAAAAAAGGAGGATCTTTTTGTGGACAAAAGCTGCTAAGAAGCAACACAGCTATGACTCCATGGATCCACTGGCATATTCTGCAGTAATCCAAAGGTATGAAGCATCAACACAACTCTCCCCCAAGTTGTTCCACAAGTCCCACACCAAAAGAGAAAAAAATATGGACAAAGCCTATTTCTCTACTGTAGCAGGAAAGCGAATTTCACAATTGACACTGAGCTTTGAACTCCCTTCAGTGAACTTGAAAGAGGCAACTCAAGTGCCTCAAACTGAATTCAGGGAAACTTGAACCCTCACCCCAGTGAAAATGCAGCCTGCAGCCACCTACTGCAAGAGCTCCAAACCCCAAATGTGTGCAAACTCATCCCCACTTTCACACAAGTTTGGATTTCAGGGATCTCCCCAGGCAGAAGCATCTCCTTCAGCCCCCACTCTGAAAACTTCCAGCTGAAATGAGTTTTCCTGTCAGACCATTGCATGAAAGAGAATAAAGAAACTGGGTGAGGGCTGTGCAAACCAGTACCTGGTGTGAGAGGTTTGCAGTGAAAGATTCAATTATCAAATATTATCAACAAGAAAACAGGAAGCTATTGCAATAATAACAGTATCACCAGGCTTCCCCCACACCTCAGCATTACATCCAGGCAACTGTTGCCACAATCTCCTGCAGGACAGTGTTATTTTTGGGCAGCATTTCAGCTCTCAAATGAGCATCCCCTTGGCCAAGTTCAGGAGAAATGAAGGAGGCACACACTGCACCCCAGGAACTGAGCACTTGGAATCTTCCTACTCATGTACTTCTCTCATTTAATAGCCTAATATGATTAGAGTTCTCCTAGAGCTGTAACTTGTATCACATTACATTTATCATTTTTTCTGGGCATGGAATATACCATATTTTCACGTAATAATCAAAACTCCTCTTCTGATCAAATATGACTACAGCTAATTTTATTAATAATCGAGTAAGGCATAAACCTTTCCATTAAAAGCCAATTCAACTTGATAATAAGATGGGTTTACTACACTGAAGTTCTTTTAAAAAAAGAGCTTACCAAGCAAGCATAACTCGAGCAAAAAGAAAAAACACCTCACTGTGCTCGTCTACCTCAAATTCTTTACTTTTTAATTCAGCTACTATAAATACTCCTCCAAATGGTAAACACCCTGAGCAGCTGCCCAGCCCCCAAGTCTTGCTGCCTCCTGCATTTGTGTATTTACAGCTGAAAGGTTTAATGCAAAGACAGGGAAGAGCTGAGCCCTGTTCTTAAGGCCTTTCATGTGCAGACTCTGCTAAATGACAGTAAAGTCACATGAAGCTGTTCAGCCAGAAAGCACCTATAGAGCCCCACATGGAACCTGCCCGATGACAGCATTGTTCTGCTTCCCATTTTCTTCACAAAAACAGGCAACTGCAAGAACCTGCATTCTATGGATCGGGACATGTGCTTCTAGAAACAGCCCTCTCTTACGTGATTAAGATACAATTTAATGAAGGCAAAACTTTGTATTCTCAGAGTGCACGCACGACACAGCCATCAGACGCTCGGAGATCAGGCCACTCCACATCTTTCCGGGGGGATACTGGAAGGCAGCACTGAACGCTGGCACCCCAACCAGCACGTGACAGCTACGAGTCCAGCCACCACCAGGGCAGCCAAGTCCGAAAAATACATATATGGGGGAGGGAGGGGAGGAAAAGAGTTAAAGAACTGCCAAGGACATCTGTAATTTAAAAAAAAAAAATCGAAGTCGTTAAAACAAAAATCGGGGTTTTTAGAGGGTGTGCGCGGCCCGGGGCACAGCCCCGCGCCGGGTCCCGATGCGGGCGGCGGAGAAGCGGCCCCGGAGCTCCGGAGCCGCCCGGGCCCGGTGCCGGCGCCCGGCGGGTCCGCGCTCACTGCGCTGCACCAAGATGGAGGCGGCGGAGCGAGGGGCGGCCGCGCCGAGGGGCGGCGCCGGGGCCGCGGCCAGCGGGGCCCGCGTTGCGCGGGCGGGCCGGGCCGGTGACAGCGGTAGCGGCGGGGCCGTGCGGGCCGGCCGGGCCGGGGGGCGATGCACACAAAGGGGGGCGATGGCGGCCGCTCCCCGCACACAAAGGGCCGCGGCCGCGCTGCGCCGGGCGGGGCCGCGCGCGGCACGCCGGGAGCCGCCGCCGCCCCTCCGCCCGCACGGCCCGGCCGCTCCGCCGCGGCCCGGAGCCCCCGACGAGCCGCCCCCGCCCGCTAAGGTCGCCTGCGGCCCGCGACGCGGCGAGTCCCGGCGCGGCCGCCGCCGCCGCCCCGCACCGCCGGCCTAGTAGGCCGCACCCCCACACACCCCCCCCATCAACCACCACCGCACACACACACGCTCCGGGCGCGCTGCCCCCGGTGCGGCGGGAGGTGCGCGGGTGGCGCGCTGGGCGGAGCGGCCCCCCCCCGGTGCCGTGAGGGGGTCGCGGAGCCCCCCCGGGCCCGCACTCACCCCAACAGCTCAGCGCCCCCGCTCCAGCGCCGCCATGAGCAGCACGGCCCGGCACGTAGGACTGAGACCGCGGCGCTCTCGCGAGAGCCGCCCGCCAGCGGGGGGAGGGGGACGAGGGGGCGGGGCCGCGCATGCGCACCGGGAGCGCGCGGGGGCTGCGCGCGCTGAGGGGCTCCGGGGGGGGTGGCAGCGCCCCCTGGCGGCCGCGGGTAGGGAGAGGGGCTGAGGGTGGTGCGGGGGAAGAACCTGTTACGGTTTTATCTCTTTCGAATTAACGGCGTCCGAAATGCCTGTGAGGCGTTTTAATCTTCGCTGTCCCAGTGCGGGTTAACGTCCCTCCAACTGGGTCGTTTGCGTGCATTCGGAAAAAAACCCAGAAACTAAATAGTTGTTTGATTGAGGGGAGAGAGAAAACCCCGGCTGAGGGGAGGAGAGCTCCGGTTGAGGGGAGATAACGAGTGCTCAGCTGAGGGGGAGAGATGGAGCCCAGTCTGTGGGGGAGACTGAAGGGAGAAGGAGAACTTGCTATAGTGACTGAAAATGTTGTATTTTGTCTCTTTTAAATAATGTTGTCTGAAATGTCTGAGGCGTTTTTATATTCACTGTCCCAGTGCGGGTGAACATTCCTCCAAACTGGGTCGTTGCCGTGCAGCCAGAAGGAACCCAGAAACTTAAATAGCACTTGGTTTGATTGAAGGGAGAGAGGAAAGCCCGGCTGAGGGGACAAGAGCGAGCCCCGGCTCGGGGCAGAGGATGAGGGCTCGACTGAGGGGAAGAGAGAGGGAGCCCAGGCTGAGGGGGGACAGAAAACCCCGGCTGAGGGGTCAGAGCAGGCTCCGAGCCTTGCCCTTGTTGAAGCCCCCACTGAGCTGAAGGATCAGGGGGTGACATTTTGTGTCTGGACTCCCAACCACGGGCAGAGCATTTCCAGTCCTGGAGCTCTGGTCCAGTTTCCAACAGTGAAGCCAATTCTGAAAATGCCCAGCAGCGCTCAGGAACTGTGTACGACTGGGCATTTACAGCCACAGACTCCTCATTTACAGATCCAGAATGGGACAGGAGTGAATGGGACATGCAGCTGTGTCACGGGAGGTTTAGGCTGGACACTGGGGAAAGGTTCTTCCCCAGAGTGGTGGGGCACTGAACAGGCTCCCCAGGGCAAAGGGCACGGCCCCAAGGCTGCCAGAGCTCAAGGAGTGTTTGGACAACGCTCTGAGGGACAGGGTGGGATTTTGGGGTGTCCAGTGCAGGGCCAGGAGTTGGACTGGATGATCCTTGTGGGTGTCTTCCAGCTCAGGATGTTCCACGACTCTATGAACATATTTAAACTTCCCTTGCCAATTCTGGCCCACTACTAATCAGCAATAAACTCACTCAAAGCAGTTGCCGTTCAGTTTCTGGCTTTTCTAAATGCACAGCAATGACCAAATTGGAGGGATGTTAAATCTACCCTGGGATGACGTAGATAAAAATGCATCACAGGCTTTTAGGATGATGTTAATTTAAAAGAGATAAAATGCAACATTTCAGTTATTATAATATTTCACTCAGGCAAGGTAAAAACTAGAGGGAGTGAAAAAGGCTTGGGAACATGCAGAACACATGGAATTCCCCCCAGGACTCACAAACAGAACACACTTGAGAAAATTACTTCTCACTGAGTTTTTTTATTCCCTCCTAAACAATTCCTAATAGAAAAGGATTGTATGCAAGAACACTCCTGTACAGAAATCCCTTATATCTACCAGTCTTGCTGGATATTCCAGATGTTCACAAGGAAATGTCTCTTAATAAGCACAGGAACAAGTCGCCTTCTGCATCTATCAAAAGTCTCACTTGGGAAAAAGTGGCATAAAAATTTAAACTAATACTGGAAATTAGATGTTTATGGTTCTTGGGGGATTTTTCTTTGATCACAGGTCAGACAGATCTTTATATAAAAGTGTCAATAAAAATATCACCATGTTGATAAATTCCTACAACGCTGCAACTCTAATTTCAGTCAATGCAGTAACTATGGAACACCTGTCACTACACTCACCTGTGAAGTGACATTAAAAATCTGTGTGTGTGTGGTTGGTTTTGGTTATTTTTGAGGCAGACCTGAGCTCGCTCTTCCTGAGTCCAAAGTGGTGGGAGGACAAAGAGCTTTGGTCTGAAGGTGCTGAGCTCTGGGCAGGGTCTGAGCACACCAACAGACCAGGGCTGGCCAGCACCCACACCCCTGGGAGCACTGGTAAGGCTGGGACAGGTCTATCCACTGAAAAAAAGAACAGTCAAATATGCAGAGTCCTTCAAAAACGCCCAGGTTTGTGTCAGGAAAGGTTGTCCACTGATTTTCACCCCTAAAACAAGGTAAAGTTTGCTCTGAATAGGAGTGACTGCTTCAAGTGCCCTTCTGGCACCTGCTGTTCTCTCACCTGCTCCTAAGTGTCCAGGTAACAGAGTCAACCCAGGTAACAAAGTCAGTCCAGGTAGCAAAGTCAACCCATCCAAACCCTGAGGGGTCACTCTGCAAAGCAAAACTGCTCCGTGCAGCCAGAGCAAAGCAGGCCCCTGCCATTTACAATGTGGCTTTTGGATAATCTCTTATTCCCTCTATCAAGTACAATAATCACAACCTGCATTATGTTCTCGAGCTACAGACGAGGTGGATCTAAAAGCCAACTGCACAGCTGGAATTAAATTACCTAAAGCTCATAAAAAAATGACAAAGGGAGAGGAAATGAACGATCACAAGGGAGGACACATCAAATACTTCAGTGTTAAGCATCCTAAGACAGAGCAACAAGCCTCTGCCATCAACATTCCAGGAAAGCGCAGAGAAAAACAGCCCACACACTTGAAAGATAAAACAAATATACAAGGAAACAACCTGAAAGAACAAATCCTTGTCAGGCAGTTTCATAATAGTCTCTGGAGGTTTGGAGGTGAGGTTTTTTGTGGCCTAAGCTTCACAGTCCGGGAGATCTTCTCTCTCCACCTCGAAAGATTCTTTGCTGATTGACAACAGTTCACGCAGCTCTTTGTTTTCAAGCTGCAAAATCAATATTTTTGCTGAAATAGAAACGAGCTAATTCACAATTAAAGGATGACAAACTTTCAGTAGCCCCACTCCTTCACAGATAGACAAAACACATACTTTGTAATACAAGCATTAATACAGTGCTGACACAAGGGGAACCACGTCATTTAAAGTGTTTCTTTTGCTTCTGGCTTCACATATATAAATCTACACATATAAGGACCATCAAGACTTGAAAACAAACAGATCATATTCTGTTTCCTGACCCCACCCCCAAATTTTTGATTATTATGAATCCTTGACACAAACAGAAAATCCAGAGTAAGTCTCTAGATCCCCAAAGCTCGATTTATCCTCAACAGTTAGATCTGCTCTTACCTCCAGCTGAGCCAGTTTCTCCTGAACTTTAAAGAACTGATCATCATCCACTTGAACAGCTTTTCTCATCACCTCTCCCATCTCACATATTCTGTCTATTTGATTTTCAATTTCCTGAAAGACACAAAACATTCAACATGTTCAGGCAAAAGCAACAGTCATAACCTATCCCCTCTAAATGACTTACTTCCATTGTCCCAATTTTGGATTCTTTCCATGTTTTGAATTTTAATCCTTTCCTCCCAAGCACTTGCAATCCTTTCTATCTTGTACACTCAGGGATAAGAACATGTACCTCATTGTCCTTTATCATGAGTCATCAGTGAAAACAGTGAACAGAATCACAGCAGTCAGCAAGATAAGGCACCCTGACTTGCTAAGAGGGAAAGAATTTCAAGTGTGACAAGGACTGAGGCAACAGATTTGGGGGCACGTGAATGCAATTACTAGGCAGTGAATTTTGCTCTGACTTTATAAAGACGTCAAATACAAAAGCAAAGAAGATTTCAAGTAACAGTGTGCAGTAAACAGGCTCATCTCAGAGGGCAATGAAACCAAAGCAAACAAGACCAGAGCCTCCTGAGGCAGATTTTACAGAATCTGACTGAAGACAGCTCTAATCCTTCTGAAGAAGCATTTTGTTGAATCACAGAAATGCACATAGACCAAACACTGAAAATTCCAACATGGAATGTAGCAGCTCCTGTTTGAAGAGCAATATATCAGATCATTTGACAGGGTGGGGTTTCTCTAAATGCCCACAGTACTTCCACTGGCTCTGGAAGATAAATGTATCACAGAGCAGAGAATTCAGTTTTGAATTCCATTATTCATAAAGTATGTAAACAAATCAGAGCATCTAGAGGAGAGCTGCAGGAGCGAGAAAGACTTCTGGGAAAAAAAAAAGGTTATTAATTTTCTAAACAGTATTATTTTTCTAAACAGGAAGATGGTTATGATAAAAAAATGGATCTTTAAAAGATATTAAAATGTTGTGACTGTTCTCCAAGTGGTGGGTAGGTGAAAACTCATGGTCTTTAGTATGGAAGACTCTGCCTAGACATTGAGACAGTCATATCCCATCAAAGGTTCCTCCTGAGCCTTTTCAGCTTTGCATTTCCAACTTTTGTTCAAATGTAAAGTCTTGATAAGCAGTTTGTGCACCCACTGGAAACCAGCCATTGCTACACCACTTACCTTCAGAGGAGCCAAGCAACCCACAAAAGAGAAGTGGTGAGGTGCCACATATCAGTGCCAAGACACACGTGCAAAGAGTTAGGCTGGCTCCAGTTCCAAAGGAAAACCCAAGATATGAGATGTCAGTTGGTTGAACCAACTTGCTGTTCTCCAATCACATAAAAATGCTTTTTAACAAATGCCTAACACAATTTGTAAGTCTTAAATAGAGATTTAATGTTATTCTGTTTTTATTAGACACCTAACATAAAACAGGCCACAGTTATCAGCAGCCACCACATCCCATCAGCTCTAAAGTCACTGAGTCCAGCATGGATAAAGGGACACTTTTAGGCCACTGCAGAGAGTATCTGGATTTAAAAACACTTGGAAGTGAAAATCTCTTAAGAATTAAACATATACAGTTCACAGGGATTTAGGAGGTTCTTTTCCCTGTGTTATCATTCCTGAACAGGAATGATAACAACTCAGGTATTTTGATTTTACTGCAGAGGATCAGAAATGTTAATTCTTAACACAGGGAATTCACCACCTGGTCAAAAGAACAAGACTCCACCTGGGCTGTGAAGGGGTTGTATTCTGAAAGGAATAGAGGGAAAAATACCAGCAGAGAGAGACAAGAGTAGGAGAAAATGTATTTTGTAGCAGAGACATTGCAGGACTGGAAACAAAGGTTGTATGACAGCGAGCAAGTGAGGGGTCTTGGGCACTGCCCTGTCCCCATTCCACCTTACCACAGAATTCGCCTGATGGACTTTCAAGACCGGTTCTGCATCTTCACGTTTTCTCCCTTCCAAAAGCTGCAACATCTGCTTCCTGTACTTGCTCATGATGAGCTCCAGCGCATCTTGGTGCTCCTCCAGTGAGACCCACAGCTCTGCAGAACACAGCCCGTCAGCGCCACGAACGGAAGAGCGGGAGACCTCCCACAGCAGCGGCAGCAGGTGCCCGGAGGTGCTGGGTACCAGCTGATGTGGGATCGCGCAGCCCACGACAGCTCAGGCCTGGCACTGCCGTGGGGCTGCCCGGACCCCCCTCGGCCGAGGAGCCACGCGGGACATCCAGCGACTCTGTCACGGGCAACACAGATCCACCTCCACTCTCCCCGACATGACCCTCCCGCCGGCACCACCGGGCGCGCATCTCCCGCGGCGCATCCCCCGGGGCCCCCTGACATCACCCACCAGGACCCACCCCCCGATCCCCAGCACCCCCCGGGCCTCGCTCACCCCTGTTCTCCTGCTGCAGGTCGCGGATCTGCGTGTTCTCCTGCGCCAGCACCACGTGCGGCCGCAGCCGGGACGGGTCGGGCCGCTCCGCCGCGACGCCTCCCGGGCCCTGCCGAGACACGGCGGGGGTCGGTCCGGCCGCCCCTCCCGGACCGGGCCGACACGCGGGGGTCGCTCCGCCCGCACCCCCCGCCCCGCGCTCACCTGGTCGGCGCAGCCCGCGCCCGCCTCCCGCATGGCGGCCACGCGGCGGTGCAGCACGGCCGACTGGTCGATGAGCGACTCGGCCGCCGTGTCGTGCTCCTTCAGCCGCTCCAGCAGCGTGCGCGCGTCCGTCAGGATCTTGTCGATGGTGCAGCTCATGGCGGGCGGCGCGGCTCACCGCCGCGGCGGACCCATGTCCCTCCCGGCCGCTCCCTGCCCCTCACACCCCCCGGCCCCTCAGCCCCTCACGGCCCCGCCGGGCGCGGGCGGACGCGAACCCGCGGGCCCGGGGGCGCCGCTTCCGCCCGCGGCCACAGGCCGCCAGTGCGCAGGCGCGGGCCGGCGCGGGACCGCCGCTCCCACAAGGGGCCGCCGGGCGGCGCCAGAGCGCCACGGGCAGAGAGAGGGGCGGGGCCAGCGGGCGGGGCAGGGTCAGCGGGCGGGAATGGGGTCACGGAGGGGGCGGGGCCACATCGAGGGGCGGATCCACTGTGGGCGTGGCCTGCTCGAGGGGCGTGGCCAGGGGCGGGGTGCGGTTCCCCCGTCCCGTTCCCAAAGGGAAGCTCGAATTCCCGGAGCTCGCTTTGGTTTTGGGGCGTTTTAGGAGGTTTTGGCGCACACAGCGTTACCGAGCCGCCTGCCCCGGTGAATGCCCCCCCCTCGCACGTTCGTTACCACGCCGCGGTTCCTCGTGCCCGAGCCCCCGCACCGAACCCCCCGATCCCATCGGCGGCAGAAGGTGCCGGAGGAGCCGGGAAGGGCCCTGGCTGCGGGCGGGCGCTGCTCGGCACAGCCTGTTTGCACAGGGCCGGTCCTTGACCCCGGGTCCCGTTATCTCCGGGGCTGCTCCTCGCACAGCGCGATCAATCCCGCGGGGATCTGTGGGGCTGCCGTCTTATCTGATACTCCTGTTTGTCCCTCCCCACAGTAAACATCCGCCACTCAAAATAACAAGCTCTGCACTGCTGACTTGCTGCTTTGATTCTTGTTTGCTTACTGAAGCTACTGCTGCTGATCCGTGGTGTCCTTGAGGCTTTGCCCGACTTTGTGCCACAAATTTGTATCACTGACTTCATTACAATGTTTTCAACAATAATATTTTAACAGGACTCCCTCTGACTTGAATCATCTTTCAAGCTAAAATCCCCATTCACATAGATACATGAGAAAACTCCAGGATGCTTTCTCAGAGGAAGGATCCCTTGTGATCCCAGAGATAATCAAGAAGTGCTGAATGGGATCATTTTATATAAGCAACAATCTCTAAACATGCACTCAATGCAGCAGAGAATGGAGTAAGCAGCTGCATTTGGAATATTTCATCAGAATCAGATTAATTAGTGAAGTATGAGAGCTATTCTGCAAATTTGGGAACTGTAATCCTGCTTTATAGCAACTTGTGTGGAGCTAAAGGTCCAGCCTGTGCTTTACGGCACGTTGCACCTTGTGGTCCTTCCCTACTTTTCATCCTATTAGAGAATATTAAAAAATTAAGACAACTTGTTATCAGAATTCTCTTTTCCTAATGGGCAATTCCCGAACATTTGGAAAACTGACAAATATTGCTGCGTTCCCCGTTCTGGTTATGGGATGAGTTGGTCACAGCTTGCCCTGCCCAAGATGGACACGACATCCCCAAGTTTTAGCCAGGGCTTGTTTCCCTGTCCCACTTTCCCATCCCCACGTGACCCCACGTGTGCAGTTCAGCAGCTCCTGTCGCTTCCCTCCGCTTGCACTCCCAGCTCCACGTGCACCTTCCGAGCCTCTCCCAGGACATCCAGTTTTCCCAGAGCCTCTGTGGCTCAGGGAGCAGGCCCGACACAGCTCCGTGGGATGATCTGTGTGTTCCAGAGCCACCTTCCTGTTGGTCACTTTATTCAACATAAGGAGTTTCAAAGTGAAATCAAACCTGCAGCCCCTGAGGTTCCACTTAACTCAGGCACTCAAGGAGCCATTTAGAAATGCAGCACTGGGAGTTCCAGTTCACATCCACAAGAAGGCAGCTGGAGGAAGGATCATTTCACCTCTGCAGGAGCTGTACCGGGATGTGTCTGAACCTCTGCCCTGTTCTGTTCCCTCTGTTGATACTCCTGATTTAACCCTCACCTCTCCCTGGTGGCAGAGATGCCACCCTGCCCTTCCACGCCAACTGCTGTACCAGAGTATAATTCCAGGATCAGTTCATTCCCTCTGTAGCATTCTGGCTGCTTGGAATTAGATTCCAGAATGAGGGAGATGGGAGACCATGACACCACCCCCACACCCAGGGATGGGGCTCAGCCCCTCTCCAGCAGATCTTCTGGCATGGAATCATTTGTTCAACTCCCAAAGCGCAGTGGAGTGACTCAGTGTGGCGCCAGGACACAGAGTGGATCCCAGTAGGACAAAGCTCCTTGATTTGAATGCTGGGAATGCTTGTCACCAAAACTTGGAGTATGGAGCAACAGAGCTTAAACAAATCAGCAGATGAGCATTTTCTGAGTAGTGGTGCCTTATAATTCCCTTGGCTTTATCACATCAATTCTGTGTAAACTAAAGAGAATGTATAAATTTGGCCTCTCAAACTTTTTAGTGTTTAACTTCAATTCGATTAAACACTTATGTGTGTGTACAAAGTGAAAAATGAGGTTACAAGAGGTTAATGCTTTAATGCTTTTAATAACTCTTAACCACATGGCTGTATTTTGTCAAACAGAACATGGGTTTGTTGTAGCAGGAGAAGGGAACACTGGGTAGAGGCAAACTGAGACACTCTGAGACAGTAACCCTGCTGCAGAGCCCAAACTGCTTCCAGGCCATCTTTGAAAAATCAGAAACAGTATTTCTGTGATGGGATAAATACATAACATTGCTGAGCACAGCTGAGGAGGTTCTTGATCACAGGAGGAAAATCACAAAGAAAAGAAATCCAAACAGACCCAAAGCACAGAAAAAGTTATCAAAGAGATTGGTAACAGGCCCTGGCACAGGTTGCCCAGAGAAGCTGTGGCTGCCCCACCCCTGGAAGTGTCCAAGGCCAGGTTGGACGGGGCTTGGAGCAACCTGGGCTAGTGGAAGGTGTCCCTGCCCATGGCAGGAGGTGGAACTGGGTGAGGTTTAAGGTCCCTTCCAACCCAAACTATTCTGGGATTCTGTGAATAATGCACAGAGGAACCGACCTGTAGCAAATGGCAACATCTGTGACAGATTGAGTGACATCTAAATGTAAAGTAGGAAGTAGGGAAAAGAATGTAAATGGAAGTAGGGAAAAGAATAAAGGGCAAACTTCTAGGATAATTCTTGGGGGTTTAATCATAAGTGTGGTCAGCACAGTTAGAAAAATTGTGGCTAAGTCTGTGAAAGCACAAGTGCACAAGTTTCCCACAGACACCACCTTTTCCAAAGCATAATGTGGCATTTCTGATTTCCACTACGAGTCCTTCCTTCAGAAACTTGGTGTCCATAAACAACCAACTATTCCAGCAGCTACAGCTGTTTGAAAAGCAAACTACACCACACCCCCAACACTTTCTGACTACTTGTTTTTACAATTAACTGATGGTGTCAACACAACCATCAGCTACTCTCAGAGTTTCACTGGCATTGCCCTCAACAAAACTGTAGCACAGAGACTCAGACCAGGGGGCCAAGTGAATCCTCCTCTTGCACTTCCCATATTTCAAGGTGGATTAATGTGGCATAAACCAGAGTTGTCCTGTGACAAAAGTTATTTCCAAGAAACTCACTCTTATTGTTCATCCTAATTATCCTGCTTTGATAAATCTCGAGGAGTCACCCACTGCACCACAGCACTCACATTTATGAGTCTAATATTCTTTTTCCTATTAAAACAAATGTCCTCAGGATGGAATCCAGGCTGGAAAAAAGGAAAAGCATTATCATTGATAAATGGATGTATCCAGTTAGTTCAGTCCCTCAGCAGCAAGACTCCACTGCTGATAAAATGCTGATTAAGGGATTCCACCATCATTATTTTGTAGTGCTTAATACAGAGTGTCAAGATCTTCTGCTTTATGGAAATCAGGTCCAGGACTTGGCTTCCCTTTGCTGTACCTGCAAAGTACAGTCACTCCAATGCTTAAAGTTACAAGTACTCCCTATGAATTACCAACTCTGAGATCCCTGCAGGAGATTGTAATCAAGCCTAATTAAGATCTTTATCTTTTTCCACATCATGCCTGGATGAATATCAATGCACTGGAGCATTTTATTGACAAATCTTGGTCTTCCAGCCAAGGAGAAACAGATTTGGCACAAGACACTTAAAGGAGGAGTTGTCAGGGTACCCATGCACATTGTGAGTGTAGAATGGTTGGGCTTCTTGTACCTCCTCTGCCTTCAGGAACAGGAATATTTTGTAGGCTGTCTTGAGATTTTCAGGTGAGTTCAAAGCAGTTTGGCTCTTGCATTAAAATTCAACGTATTTCAACAGTTTAGCTCTTCAAGATTTGCCTTACAAGCCTGTTAGAAAACACACGGTGAAACTATCCAACAACTTCATGATTAAGGAAAAAATCAGTCTTAAAAAAGATCAGAATTGGTTTTCCTCTCTGGTCTGATGTTTCAGCATTTCCTCCCATGAAAGCATTTAAGAACTTAACGAGAGCTTCCATCTTCTCTGGAGTTATTTCCCTTCCAATCTGACCCTGATGATTTGTCTGATGCATTTGATGTAAAAGAGAAGAGTATCTATATTATCTCACACTAAGTCACCTGAATGAACTCGTGCTCTACAGTGCTGAATGGGAGCTGTTCACTGTGCAAGGTCACATCCAAAATTGTTAGTCCTGAGGCTTTGTGCTGTTTCTCACCCAGGACTGAGGTCCATCCATGCCCATGCAGAAAATCCCAACAGTGCCAGCACTGCTGCACCTTTGGAAGATCAGTAAATAATCCAGGAGAGAGGAGGAACAGAAAACTTGCAGGTTTTTCATGAGTTCCTTAACAAATAGTAAATGCAAACTCTCAGAACACCAAATTTTTGGCAAGGATTTGTCTGCCAGTGTATTTTATGCCTCTAAACCGTTTTATCTCTCTAAACCAAAAATAGGTAGAGCTTAAGCTAGATCACTTTAATACATGAGCTGTATTGTTAATACTCAGCTTTCTTTAATTGCTTAGAACAGTTTACTAGCAGGAGAGATTTAATCCTGTAATGAAATAATCTATATTTCAATATAACCTTTAACTCACATAGAGCAACGATTACTGTAATGAGCAATTAGTTTTCCAAGAGCTTCCAATCGTTTAGTATTTGACTCTTGCTTTCATCATTTAATGATTTACAGTAATGAGCTGGAACATCAGTATTTTG